CGTACGACGTACAGATTAACATAAACAATGCTCAAAACGGCCTGATTCGGGTTCTCTGACCTCAGAAACGTCCAGAAAACATGTTTCTGTAGTTTTCAAAATTTTGACCGATTACAATACTTTTCACCTTACACTATGTGTGCGGAAAAGTAAAAGGGACGAACAAACACTGCACCCGACCGGAATTTACGAACAAATCGATAAATTGTTATAGAAAATGCATGATATTCCAATTTGTTCTTCACCTTTCGCTTCGTACGAATATAAATCGATTGCAGCAATTGAGTGGGTTATTGGCAATTCCAAGACCGGTTTGGTCTTACTTAGTAAAGGATTTTTTTGCTTTGAAGTTTTAGGTCATCAATAATGGGTTCATTATTAGTCATATTTGTTTAAAGCTGCTTACTTTTCAAGCACACCGATACGTCCACTCAGAGAGAATATGTCGAATCTTTTCGATTATGAAAGCACATGTATTTTAAATATTTTGAATAAACTAGTCCTTTTGGTTCAACATTCCCGAATAGTAAAATATTTGTTAGTGTTACGAGTATTCTCATCTCCCTGCATCTTTATCATCCAAAGAAGAGAATTAATATTATTACTCATTTTTTTGGTTCTGATGATAATTCATCTGTTGTTTTATTTTTTTTTATTCTTTTTCGTAAGCAAAGTTCATCGATAATCTTAGCCTTATGACCTCTACGAACATGAAGCAAAAGATTAACCGCGGTCAAGGATTTCCGAAAAACCTGAATGTGATTGTAGCTAATATTGAACACAATAAACTGATTAACCCAATTTGATGAAAATATTCACTAACTAAGAGGTCATTTCTCGAAAATACTTTTTCCCAAACAAACGTTTTCCCGAAAATTCGATAAATCTTGTCGAAAAAATCGCCGAAATTGCGAAAAATATTTTCCGGAAATGTTCATGCCTTCCATTTTAGGCACATATTCGTCACAGGTTCTAATTGCTTTTAGACATTTTCTGAATTTTTACTGTATTTCAAAGTATGTTCACACCTAAATTAACCAAGAATCGAGTTCTCTTAAGCGTATACGCTTAAAAACCTGATACACTAGAGGGTTAAATGCATTTGTACGGCTGGTAATAAAAGCGGCTTTAAGCAGAAAAAATCTTAAAAGTGTCTCATAATTTGTACAGGATTTACATAAGATGGAGACGGTTTAAAAAAACTTAAAGTCACTTTTATTCTCAGCCGATCATTTATTATCAATATTGTTTCGTTTCATTATCATTTTGATTCGTGATATTTGTGATGATCTTCTGTTTTCGAGCATATAAAAGGTAGTACTTGGTCGACAAAGCAGCACAGTTATCGTTTAACGTCTCAGCTGTAGACATTTGCAATTAATTTGCTAGAACTCAGTCAAAAAGTTCAGTTTAAATATTTATATTTTCGAACATCATATCGCTTCTAGAAAAAATGAAGTTTTTTCTAACACTTGTCTGCCTGCAGTCATTTCTCATTGGCGTTCTATCAGGTAGCAAATCGTCGTTCAACTTTGAACTTTTAAGAATTAATTGATTTTAACTTTCAACAATTTAAATATTCTGTTTTTTTTTTTGCAAAGTTCACTCCCAAACAGGCGATGCCACAGAGACAAGCCCAACTAATTCAACTCTCAGACCTGCAGAACGAGGTAATTCAATATAAATTGTTATTAAAATGAAATGCACAAATTGAAATAATCTCTTATGTTTAATAAGCTTGCAGCGTATATAAAAACATGCCAGAGTCTCGGATTTTAGGCGGAAGCGAAGCCTTACGAGGGGAATTCACATGGATGGTGAGCCAAATTTTTCTTATTAATTGTGAAATTCAACGAAATGTTAAAATATTTTCATCCATATTAGGCGGCTCTGTATTACATCCAAAAATACTCATTACTGTTTGGATGTGGTGGTACGATAATATCTCCACAATTTATACTTACATCGGCACATTGTTTACATCCCAGCAAGCCTCCAGTTTTAGTTCGTTTGGGAAAAGTATAGTTTTTACTTACAAAAAGCAAATTTATTCAAAATATTTATGATAAAAACTTTTCGTATTTTTTTTGGCAAAGATAACGCTGAGTGACAACGAAGATGATGATATTCAAGCTGCAGATCATCAAATAAAGGTAAAAATGTCATTGACCGTTTAATTTTTTTTTTGAGAAGAAGATAATAAAATAGCATATTTATTCGCAGGGAGTAATTCGTCATCCAAATTATTCCCAACTAACTTATCAGAATGATATTGGCTTGGTTCAAGTGATACGAACCATTAGATTCACATCAAACCTTTCTCCAGCTTGTTTAAATACTGACATTGGTGATTTGGGTGAACTCATTGCTACTGGATGGGGCAATACACAGGCTGAACGTAAGTTGAACTTTTCACTAAGTTCAATTCAGATCGTTTGCATAAAATGATAATATTTTCACTTTCCTAGGTTCATCGGTCTCGGATAAGCTGCTGAAAATTCAGTTGAAAACAATGCCATTGGGTCAATGTAATTCGACTATGTTACAATATAATCAACTGATAAATTCACCACGTTTTCGAAACGGTGATGGCCTTAATGATGGCCAATATTGTGCATTTGATCCTGAAGGAAAGAAAGATACTTGCCAGGGTGACGGAGGATCACCGCTTCAATATTTCCCAAGCAATGAACCAAAAGTAGCAGTGATTGTTGGCATCTCATCGTTTGGCATAAGTTGTGGAACAGAACTTCCAAGCATTTACACCAGAGTTGGTTACTATTTGGATTGGATCGAACCTATCGTTTGGCCAACTGATCAATGAAACATTTTATTCAATTAATTAAATTGGATTTTTTTTTTAAATTTCCGAAAGAATTTTACACACATGACATAAAAAATGGTCTTTTAATAATTCTATAATAATTCATTTGATAATGAAATAAAGTGATTTTGAATTACGTAGTTGTTTGTGAATATTATCAATATAAAGTCTCTCTGAGTTTGAAACATAAGGCTCATTATCTCAAAAAACCAGTTTTCTTTCTACATTGTGCATGTTAAATTCACAGTGAAACGGTATACATTCGTCAACGACCATATCATGTAAAAAGCACCAGTTCTCGTCCGATCACTGAAGTTAAGCTGCATTGAGCATGGTTAGTACTTGAATGGGTGACCGTCTGGGAACACCATGTGTCGTTGGCACAATTCTTTTTTTTAATTTCTCTACCAATTTTTTTTCAAGGTTTTTTCCTCTCTTTTTCGAGGAAGTGAGATTAATTTTTTCAACTTTTATTCTTTATTTTCTTCTCTTCTTCCTTTCTCATGCTTTAAAATCCATTTGTGACTTCTCAACTAGTAGAAAAAAAGACTAACTATAAATTTTAAACTGTCTCGGAGCTGAAATCAAACACTCATTTTATTTATAGATCTGAATCTTATTTACATGATTTTATCAAAAAAAATTCAAATAGTTTTATAGTTGTTTTTTTTTCTCGTCGAATTCGAATATGAAACAGAATAATATAATTACGTTTATTAGCTAATTTTTAATGATTGCTCGAAAATTAAATAGAAGAAAGAAAAATGTCTTCTTTTATAATTGAATCTCTTGTCGACATTTGCTACCAATTTTAATTTCGCCCCTTGGGCATATTTCGGGCGCTGAAATTACTGACATTGCCACTCGATCAAACATTGTTGAAGTTACTCCAGTTGTCACAGTTATTTCTGTTGTTATTGTTGGTTCAATTTTTGAAGGTAGGCTGTTTGACAAGGGCTCTTCTTCAATGCATGCCGTATCAGTTGTAACTAAAATACTGACAATAGTCACAACTAACGACAAATTCACACTTCTTCTCATCACAATCATATTTTCGGATCGTTTAAAAATCTAATCTAATATCTAAAATTAAAACGTTTTTAAATTCTTTCTTTCAACTTCTACAATCGACTTTTTTCTCTGTCCCAAAGCAACAGAATAGAATAAAGCGAAAAAGACGCAGAAAACACGATTCTCTCACAGCAGTACGAACCAAGTGCGACAAACTAACAAACTGAAATAAAATGATCGGCGTCTCATGACAAAACACCGATACAACAGAGAGAAGAAAAAAGAAACCAGAAAATAAGAAGCAATCAGCTTATCTGTGTTTTATTTTGCTTCTCTTTTTTTTTCACGTCACAAAAAAAAATATTGAAAAGATTTCATTCGCTATATTTAAAGATCAAGCCTTATGATTACTATTTGGCATTTTTTTCTTTGTGTCGTTAGCATCAATGACGAATGAATGTTTACTAACTGAATGGGCAGTCAAATTCCGGGCAATGTTAAATTTCAAAAAATCGTTTATTCTACTAAAATGTACAATTTTTTACACTAAATGTATAATATCATCTGGCATGTCCTGGTTTTTTTCTTCTTAGAAAATAACTTCACTAAAGTTTTAAGTGGATCGGATCAAAATTTTGGTATTGTGCATATTCATGATAATTGTTGCATGTAATTTGTACATTTCAAACCGGTCAAATGACTACCCATCCGATTTGAAATCGTAGCGAATCAGCCTCATGAAAGATCCAACCGATTCAACACCCTCACGGTACCGTAACGGTTCATGTTATTCTCCAAAATGCATATTCAAAAAGCTATGGTTTTAATAGATTTATTTTCTTTATACACGACTAATGTACCGTGATTATTCTTCTGTACAATATTAAAATAGTAACAAAGCTTCTATATCAAGTATTTTTCTTTTTTAAATGATTTGTCATCGATCACAAAATATTGATATTTTCGGAATTCATTATGGTTCCGACTACGTGCTATATGATTATCTGCGTACAAATCCAAGAAAACATCTGCCACGGGTTCGATGTTTCCTAATGCCGATAGTTCTTTTATATATTCTCTCTGATCGTTCAACGATATGAATGGAAGTTTTTTCGTCTTTTGAATTTGAACATCTTTTAACATTTCTGCTTTTGTTGGCAATTTCTTTGCACCCGGTAAGAATTTCATCGCGAATCGAACCTAAATCAATCATAACACCGTTTAATTTCATTCTCAAAAGCCATTCATAATCATTTTTGCATAGTTTACTTGAAAATCGAACATATGAGTGGTTGCGGCAAGCGCTGGTAGACCAATAAAAGCCATTGTTGGATGTTCCACATTGAAGATTTGCTTATACAATGGCTGAACTAATTTTTTCTCAACATAAACACCAGCGTCCAAACTTAAAAATGGAAACGAAAAATTATAACCTACAATAAAAAGAATTTGTTGCATTAAAATTGTGGAATGTCATTTTTCTGAATTTTCAAAAGAAAAAGTCTCAACCTGTTGCGAAGAACACCACATCAAATGTTTCGTGGGATCCATCGATGAATTCTGCGCCAGTCGAAGTGAAACGCTTCACATCATCTTTTAGTATCACATTGGATGCGAATAGACTTTGACGTTCCATACGAGCCTCCTCTGTTTCATTCACAATTTTATGCTGGCTGAATGTTACGCGGTTTGCGACTTTTGACGTTTGAACTACCAAGTCGATTCCGCTTGTCCCACCACCTATAACGAGAATATTTTTGCCTGAAAGAAGATTTGGATGCACATGCACAGTTAAAATAGTTTCTACAGAATTTTTTTTCAATGAAGTCTTACTGTGAAATGGTTCCGGTTTGCGATAATCATGACTGTGAATAAGTTGTCCATTAAACTCATCGGCACCTTCAATATGTGGAATAAACGGCTTCGAATTATGGCCATTGCAAACGAAAACGACATCATAAATTTTCGTTTCGTATGTATTCGTGCGCAAATTTCTGACAAGCACTTCCCATTTATCGTTTTCAATCGGAAGCACCCGAACGACCAAACGACTGAGTCTGATGCTCTTTTTCACATCGAAATGATTTACATACGAATGGAGATATTTCAGTACGTCTGCTTGTGGTGGGAACTGTGTTGTATTCGTTGGATAAGAAAAGTCGGGAAAACTCATCACTTGGTAAGGCACATTCGTTCTGGTAAAGTAACAAACAATCGAAAATTATTTACAAATCATTTTTTTGTTTTGTACTTCGAATGGATAGCGAATATCGTGAGGCCACGGGTAGAATGTTTCTTTAAAAAAATTCGACAAAGAACTTCTGACCCTCACCCAATCAAAGTGTAAAGAATTACGCTTTTGCTCAATAACAATGATTAAGCACATCATCTCCATTAAAAAAGTGTGTTTAATTACCTTAGCCCTTGGTACATCGATGTATGGATTGGAATGCCATATTTATCTTTGCCGATTTTATCCGTGTAGTACCATATGCCACCGATTTCTTCATTTTGTTCGTAGACTGTCACTTTATGGCCTTCGGCAAGACAGTGCTTGGCGCTGCAAATACCCGTTACTCCAGCTCCAATAATCGCTACATTTAAAGCGGGTCGTTTGTCATTGGTAAAAACAGTAGCCGCATCTAGTTGATTTACGGCCAATCCAAGCACAAGCCCGGCAAAAATCTGCGAGAAAAAAATTTGATGATAAATTAAATTGTTTGTCTTGGGCATTACATGAAATGTATTTCCATTGGATTTGTCTGTTTTATCACGAAAAAGAGACTCAGTTAAGTTTGTCGTTGGTATAACAATATTCAAACCGTTCGAAGTCGATTTTATACATAATCTCAAATTTGTGGAAAGTTTTTAATGACTACCATATGGCATTTGAAACAGGTTATTAAAATTTCGAATGGGCCAATAGTCAGAAAGATGGAGCCTGAATATTAATGACAAAAAAAAAACAACAACAGTCGATGACACGATAGCTCAAACACATTATTCGGAGATTCAACGATTACGAAGAAATATCACGACGCGATCAGCGTCACGTCGACGCGAAATCATTCTTTGTTTCTTTTTAACACCAAAGTAACCTGATGTTTTAAACGTATTTAATCGGTCGCTTCACTGATGTGTATTTTGGGATCGATCTTTAGGATTTTTTCCTATCGTTTTACGGATTTTTCTCTTAAATTTCCAAAAAACTACTTGAACACCTGTCATTTCGTTTTAATTTTCCACTATTACAACCACACGAATATATAACAAATCAATGCAATAAAAATAAATTTCAAGAAATGTTTTTGTTAGTAAACACTTTAGTAAAGATAATCAATTGACAGAGAACAGAGTAAATAGAGTCTTTATTATTGGAATATGTTTAAAAAAAAGCAACAAACTGTAATAAGAAGCTTCATCTATAGGTGTGATACGAACGAAAGATCAAAACTGACTAATCGTTTTGAGCTGACAATCATTACCTAAAACTTAGTCATAACACATTCGAATGCTGTGTGGAACCGGTTTTGCGATTGATAAATGTTGAAAGACCAGTGTTTATAATCAAAATTCAATCACGTGTCTTACCTTTAACCGCATCATTATGTAAATTTTGTGCAACTATGCATGGCATCGCCTCTTTGCGACACGCTTACTGTTAGCTGCACGTTTTATGTACCAAACTGAATATGCTTAGTTGATAGGTGCTGAACGGGTCGTATTGTTTCTGAATACGTTTTTTTTTTCTTCGAATGAATGACTCATCTCAATTTCACATAATTGTCATATTTCATTGGAATTGACATATCGCGTAAAAAATATCGAGAAACTACGGAACACATTAACTTCAATGAAACAACAATGACTGGGTCTATTTGTTTCATCGCAATTGAAACGATGGCTCAGTTGAATTTTAGCATGTAATTTGGTGTATAAAAATAATTAATGGAATTTTGTAGCATTGAATTTTTTAAGAGACGATATTTTGAAGATTCGTAGTGATAAAAAAATGTCGAGTAATTGAAACCATGCAGCTCACGTAATTCTTGACACGATTAAAAACCACAAAATAATAATAAAGAAACAACCACTCACGATTTTTATTTCTGCCAACGAACCACGCTAAAAATAGCAAGAGTAGAAGAAATAATGTGTTTTTCAATGTAAATAAGTTCCTTTATTGTTTCAAGCTTTAATTATTCTATTGCAATGTAATGGCAATTTCATAAAATATACTTTTCTTTTTTAAATGATTTATCATTGATTAACATATATCTATATTTGCGGAAGTCGTTTGGTTCACGAATTCCAGCTACGATAGAATCTTTAGTCGCGCTCACAAATACATCTGGAACAGGTTCAATGTCAGCCAATTCCGATATTTGTTTTATATATTCGATTCGATCAGGTAACAAATTATATGGACGCCGTCTTGTCGGTTGCATCTGCACATCTTTTAACATTTCGGCTTTTGTTGGCAATTTCTTCGCACCCGATAAGAATTTTAGTACGAACCGAACCAAAATGTTGGACTGACTTTAATTTTTTGGCCCAATCCAATACCTTTTCTACACTAGGTTTGCGGAAAAGTAAAACGCTAGATTCGTGTTCTCCGACCCTGAAAACACCCAGAAAACACGTTTTTTGATGGGTGTTAATTTTTCGACCGATTCCAATACTTTACCTTACACACTAAGTGTGTGCGGAAAAGTAATATATCGAGTTCAATTTTCCAAAATGAAAAATGATAGATTTAGTATGAAAAATGTGTGTACCACAGTACTAAATTCATAGAGAAACAATACCATCACATATGTTTTTTATAATTTCTTCCAAAACTGAACTAAATAAACATATAAGAGAATTCTCTAAAGCAATAAGGATTTTTTATATTTCTATTATATTTTTTTATCCAAAACTGAACTAAATAAACATATAAGAGAATTCTCTAAAGCAATAAGGATTTTTTATATTTCAATAAACTCAAGCGTGGTTTCAAACATTCATTTAAAAGAAAGCAGTACAACAGACTTTATGTTATGTATTTTTCTAGGGGGTAGACACGAAGACTTTTCCTTCAAATCAGTTGGATAAATAATAAAATTAACGATTGATATGTAGTATAAAATATTCATTCAATAAAATTTCGAATCTTTTCAAATCACTTGAAGCATATCAAATAATCCGAATTTCGAATCATATGTCATTGTCGTTTGCTTTACCGACATTTTCGAAATGCCAAAAAATAACATTTCTCACTGACGTTTTACATTGATTGTGTTGTGTTTTTATTGTTGAAACGATTTATCAAAATATAAAACACGGACTGAATAGAAATGGTAAGAATTGTGTAAAAATATGTTGGAAATTACCATTTTTCAAAAATTTCTGTCTTATTTATAGGATAAATTGAATAATATTTTGGGGGATAATTTTCCACCGTGCTTGAAAACTATTTTACATGTTTCTGGATATGACGATATTTCAACAATCCAATTGTTAGATGAAAAAAGCATTATTGAAATTGAAGAATATATATCCGAGTTCTGTCGAAGTACAATTGATAATCTAAATTGCTGTTACAGTGAAGAATATAAAAAAAAAGTGAATTTCAAATTTATACCTGGTCACAAAACGAGACTTTTGCGTCTCCCCGAAAATATTCAGCACGACTGCAGTCGTCCTATCAACAACGAAACAATAAGTGATGAACCATATTCTGCAGTTTTATTAGAACTAATAAGGACGGCAGAGAAAAATTTCGGGAAAAATAAAAACCAAGCACAGTATGGCGAAATAACGCGTCATTTTTTCACGTATATTTATCTGTTGTCGGGTAAATCAGCATATGAGACATTGAATCGAAATTTGCCGATTCCCTCGGTTAAAACCATTCGTAAGGAATTTTTGTTTGACAGATTTTTTATAAATTTAGATGTATCTTAAAATGGGAAAACCGATTTATTATTTCAGAACGAAATATTGGAAACAATCAAAAACGAATTATTGAAGGAGAACTTCGATGTGAAGAATTGTCTATTTATCTGGAAAAACTTGGTGCATGTAAAAGCGTTTGGTTATCAGAGGATGCTACAGCTATAGTACCACGAGTAAATTATGACGCTGCGACAGACACAATTATAGGCCTGATTTTACCTCTGAATGCCCAAACCGGATGCCCAATATCATTATCGTATAAGGCATCTTCAGTAAGTGAAATCATCGATAATTCATCCAAAGAAAAATCTAAAATGGTTTACTTAGTAATGGCACAGCCATTAGATGAGAGATCTCCACCATTTATTCTACAACTCTATGGATTGAATTCCAAATTTACAGCTGAAACAGTGAGAAATCGGTGGAAATATACGATTTGTGAACTTGCCAAATATGATATCCGTGTCGAAGGCATCTCATCGGATGGAGATCAACGTCTTCTGTCTGCTATGTGCAAAGAATATTTCAATCCAACGTTCATGCCATGTTTTATCCAAGATACCATTCATATTGCCACTAAACTAAGGAACAGACTACTCAACACTGAAAACGAGATGATGTTCGGACATTTCAAAGTCAACCTGAATCACCTCATAAAGTTAATCAATATTTGTCCCAAGGAAATACATGGATTAACAAAGTATGATGCATGTCCCACTGATCGTCAAAACTTTGCATCTTTTGAAAAAATTGTGTCAACACGAGTACTGAATGCTTTGGAAGTTTATATTCCAGATAGTAAAGCTACTGTGAAGTATCTGAAGTTATGTCATGACGCCGTATATAGCTTCATAAAGACTGATTTAAAGCCAACAGAACGTTTACATTTGATTTGGCGAGCTGTATTTTTCATCAGAATTTGGAGGGAACACATAAAAGCATCGAAGCGGCAAACTCTCGAAATGCGATTCATAACTTCAAATGCATTCAAATGTATTGAAATCAATGCACGAAATTTGATCGACCTAATTCGAATTTTTAGGGAAAGAGGAACACCACACCTTTTTATACCTACCATCATGGACAGCCAAACATGTGAAAAGACGTTCCGCTTGTTTCGATCAATGGGGACAGTTAATTTTACAAAGATAAATTTTTCTATTTTGGAATTGCTGTATATGGTTCGTCGTGTAGAAACTATGAATGATATACTTCACTTCAAACTCGTAAACAAAGGAGTAACATTTCCAAAATTTGAAGTTACAAATACGAAAACAAAAATTTGGGATATGCCGTCAGAAGAAGAAATCCAAAGTGAAATTGATAAAGCAAAAAATGAAGCTATTCATGATGCGATCCAATTTGGCATGAGAGCAGATCAACCTGTTCTATTTTCACCCCAATACAAAATCTGTGCATTTGAAACTACAGATGAGTATGAAGACAGTTTTGAAGAAGAAAACCTAGAAGAAAACGCTTACTTAGAGGGAGAATTTCAGGATTCAGACAGTGAAATTGATTTTTGTATTGATGAGGAAAATTTAAACTCAAGTGAAGATAAGCGGTTTATTGAAATCTCATGTCCAAATGGCACAAAAAAAACCATTCGAAAATCAACTCTAATTTGGCAGTTTTCAGAAAACAACACAAAAATTAGCAAAGATCGGTTAAGAAGAGTGCAAGTGTCAAATACCACAGACTTAGCCGCAAATACTGACATCGCACTACATGTACACAAAAGAAGGCGCCAATCAATCATTTAAGCGCATAATTTGACGTTTCTTCTGCTGCAAAGCGCGCAAATAGTATATATAAGTGTATTTTGAAATTTCTTTCACTTGATATTTATCATCCAACAAAGTCAGTCATGGGTAAGCAATTTTTCTAGCAATTTTTATAACTTATTTTTTTACTTTGATAAAAATTATAAATTCAACTTTTATTATTTTTTTTCGATTCATTTGGTTTCAATTAGAGGTGCCCACTGAACTGAACCGTTCATGTTCGTTCGGTTCATTCGAATTTGAACCGAATATGAACCGAATATGAACGGCATGTTTACATATTTTGAACAATTTGAACTAAACGCGAATGAACATGAACAGATTTTTTTTATTTCGAACGAACCTGAACAAACGAGAACTGTTCAGTTGAATTCTCGAGAATAAAAACAGAATATAAATAGTTACTTATCAGAGCGAAACAAACCGTATTTTCCTACATATATTTGATGTTTTATTTTGTATGAATTACAGCAATTAATCTGTATTTAAAAACATCTTCCTTCGCTTTGATATGCAACTATTTAATATGGTTTTATTCTAAAGAATTCAATTGAAGGAATTTATAACTGCTGAAAATATTCAAATGTATTCTTTTTGATTGTTAGAAACTTACAGATGAAAACTTTTATTTTTTGTAATTTAAATATTTTAATAGTTTTTTTGTGTTTATAAATAGTGCCATTTAACTTCACTAAAATTTTAAAACCAATAACTTTTCAATTTTAAATTTTAAT